GTAAATTTTATCCTCAGCTTTTTAATTTTTTCAATTGAGTCCCTTTCTTGTTTTTTTTCTTCAACTTCTCCCCCAAATTTTTCATAAAATTTTTTATAACGATAAATCCGAAATGGTACGCGAAAAATTTCGGTATCCAATACGTACCATTCCAGTAACAAAACCGGTACGCATGCCGGTACGGTATTGACTACTTTGATTGAGATCCCTTTGTACTCGATTTAATAATAAATTACTTGGCTGATAAAAAAAAATTTTAAAAAGAAGGAAGGCGATGTCGACTGAGTGTCTGAAACCATATAATTAAAGAGCATCAGTGATACAAACAATCCAGTTTGCCTTCCTTTCTTTCATCCAATCAAATGTTGTTAATTGCATGAAATCAGACACTATGCCGACATCAAGTTGCCTCTGAACACACATTCATCTCGGCATAGCCAGACAGACCACGCAAGGAAAGTCAAATAATTTCCCAAGCAACAGCTACTACTACTTAATAAAAACATAATTTTTATTTTTCAAACAGAAAAGGAGCAGCCCTTATCTTCAAATGACTCCTACCTGCTTCAGCTAAAGGGGTGTCACGCCTCAGAACCCAAATTTGGGGACGTGGCAGATGCCGTGCACTCGTGAAACGGATTCCACAAATGCACAAGACTCAAAACTTATCATACCACAATCTGATACCACAAAATCTGAAGATAAAAATCTTAAAATTTGCTTTGATATCATAAAATCTCCAATTAAAGTCTAGTTTATAAGATCATGATTTATATCTAAAATCTATGTTCAATTTACAAGATGGCTAGCCTTCTAACTCATCACTCCCTTCGTTTTTCCCCGTCCTTGACTTCGTTTCCTGAAATGGTGGACAAGGAAAAACTATGAGATAACTTAGTAAGTAAATATGGATAGCCCGTGATTAAAATTTAAGGGTGCCAGATAAACAGTTTAACATAACAAAACATTCAATGATAAACCGTTAATACAAAATCAAATTCAGTTCAATAGCAAAGCGTTAAATAACAAACCGTTAATGCAGAATCAGATTCAGCTCAATAACAAAGCGTTCAATGACAAAACCATTAATGCATAAGAAAATTCAGTAGTAGTCTCATCTATAAGTCATGGCAAGCATTTAACACCCACTGGCAGGCGTCAGAAATTACGAATGTGTTTGCCCATTGGCAGGCGTTAGAATTTACTAATGTATTCGCCCAGTGGCAGGCGTCAGAAATTACCAATGTGTTCGCCCATTGGTAGGCGTCAGAAGTTACCAATGTATTATCCCATTGACAGGATTACAGAATGAACTAGTCATATCAGTAACCATGTCAACATGTGCCAGCGTTTCCAAACTCCCACTAACGGACGTTAGTAATCATGACTATATTAGAGACAAAACCATGCAGTATTTACAAAAAAATCCGTAATTCACAATCAATCTCAAATTTCAAAAATAAACCGAAAAATTTTCGTGTGAGCATAGATTTAACAGAAAAACTCAGGATTTACAAAATTCTTAGTTCATCAAGGCAATTCAATCAATTCCAAGTAGGCATGCTCTACTCAATGCAAATGAAAACAATTTCATTTCAAATCAATCATACTCGATGCTAATAAAATCAATTTAAACCTTGCTACCATCTCAAAAACAATTTAAAACATACTTTGAAATTAAAAGGCGTTACCATAATTTACTTACCTCAAATCCGTAATACCGGAAACTCAAGCCAAGTGCTCGGGTGACAGAATACTCAAGAACCTAATCAAAATACCCCAAAATTAATACTATACTACCACAAACTCAAACTGAAATCATCATTAGAACTACCCCTGATCACATGCTATTTCTATCGGTCTCCACAGGACCGGACATCTCCAAATTTGTTTTTATATTACAAACTAAACATTTAAATCCCCGTTAATTGTTGGCCATTAGTGCGTGAACAGTACCCATAAACAGTAACTGCAACTTCCAAAAAAATCGGCAAAACCATAACTAATCTCACGGGATTTCTCTCCAAAATCTCACAGCAGTCAATTAACACTCAATCACATAAATTCCACTTGAATTAATGCTTAATTTTGTCCTAAAGCTAC